CAAGATATCATTTGAAGAAAACATGGAGAACTGAACTGCTAAGGAATACTTACTATAATTGCTCTTATACAGAGACCTCTCTATGTGTTCACTGTTTTAGTGCAATCTGCTTAATTAATTGCATTACTTAATTACAGCTGATGATTTTTTAAAAGAACACTTAAATGCCATTTATTTAAGACAACGACTTCCAAGTGTTTTAATTCATTTGACCCCCCCCACCCCCACCACCTACCTCTGCATGAATAAATACTGGACCTACAGTAACTGTGTATTGTAGCTACTGCCCATCTCTGGGGATCTCATTATAGTCTCCACAAGCTGTTCTGCTAGGCAGACTTTCCACACTTCTTCTTCACATCCGGGGGCCTTCATTCATGTACAACGCGAATGTGACTCCAAAAGCTCAGTTTGGTCACTTGCAGTCAACACAGCTAGTTAATTAGAAAAATATATAAGCCTCAAATATTCTGGATCAACAAATACTGTTTGTAAATACCATCCATGGCTGGTTGTGTTATGGTTTTCTTTTCCACAGCATTGCTGACTCATCTTGTCAAACGGAACCCTATGTAAGCAAAAGGAATTCACCAACATTCCTTTACAAGTGGCAACGTTCTATTTTTCCACCTTCTAATTTAATGGATTAATGGTTCCATAGCAAAGACCTTGCTGAGTTAAGTATAGTCATCAATGACTTCTGAAACATGTGTTTTAGGTCAAAGGGAAAATTATGAGGCACTTACAGGTATAAATGTCAGAGGGGGAAAACACATTGACCAAAGTTCTTTTCCACCTGAGAAATGTGATATCCTATTCAGATCAGCTTTGTAAATTCACGGAACTTGACTTGTGGGGGGAAAAAAAAGTGAGACTAGCAAACATTTGTATCACTATATATGGTAAATATACTATTTTCAGATAGTATTTCAGAAAGATCCATCCTGGCAGCAATATAAAACATGTTTATTGCAAGGACAAGAGTGTTTGTCAGGGACATTCAGCATTCATGAAACCTGTCTACCATTATTCTTTTAAAGGCAGGTTGTTTCACATATGTCATCATAGCTTTTCTCTAAAGGAGCACCATGTGAAGTCTTGACATGAGGATGGAATCCTTCATTTTGGAAGCACTTTTTGTTCACATACTGTATTTGGCTTGTAGCTGGATAAAATTCTGGAATCAGTTCACTATCATCAAACTGGACAAATGAACCTCCTCTTGCCTGTAACTATTTTCACGTTCTTAATTAAATATTTGCAAGCAGAAAAGGCAGATCCGTAATGAGAAAGGACTTTTCTTTTTGGATAAATGTCTTTCACTATGTAAATCCCGTAATTGATGGCAGCACTTCTGTAGGGTTATGGGTTTTTGTCTTGAAAAAAAGACATGGTTTGCTTGCTCACTTTACTTACAAACAAAGGCTGTTTGATGGCCAAACCTTATAAAAGGCAGAATGTTCAAACAAAACACACTGGGGGTTGTCTGGTTTTTGTTGCTCCTTGCTCATGCCATAAACACATACTGTACAGAATAGTTCAGGTGGGTAGCTGTGTCAGCATGCGTAGGCTGCAAAGGAACAAGTAATTTTCTTTCTTCTTTTTTTCAGCATGGAATAAACCTATTACTTGTTACTGTACAGAATATGTGTACTTGTCTAGCATTTGGCACTGACAGAACAGTCTGGATGGTTTCCTCCAAGATTTCCCTAGCTTTACTCCAGTCTTTTCAGGCTCATATTCAAAATAAATACTGCAAATGTGACTTAGGAATATTAAATTAAAACTAAGAAGGCAGCCGCCGGTTCCTTTGGACTTTCTTTGCTAAACTCACCCTCCCTGTAGACAAACCTTTACATTATAAACAAATAGGCAATCTGTTTTTAAGTAGGACAATAAATGGTAGAACACGAAGAGAATATATTTCTCACAATAGTCTATAATTTTGCCTTCTTGCTATATTTTGCTGACAGAACATCAATATAAGACAAGATTTACACTCTTGGAAAAAAATGACTAAAGGGTGGTGAAATAATATTCTTCCTGTTACCTCTTTCCTTTACAAATTGAAGATTTATGAAACCTCTACAGTGGTATTTAAGTTTCCCTTTTGACTTCAATATGATATTACTGTATGAACACAATGCATTTGAGATGAGTAGACAGAGGTGATGCATTACTTTTTTTAAATGATTAGAGGCAAACAGCTGTGCCTTGATGGAAAAGCAGACAATATCTTCTGCTAAACCACCTGGAAAAAATAAGAGTTGCTTTCAGGATTGTACTGGTGAATACAATATACCTTTTGACCAAGTGTAGCATCGATGTAATTCTCTTTGGGTGGAAAATATACATGAAACATAAAGAACCAACTAAGCCAACAGAAATACATGAAGACACTTCCACATGTTAAATAGGGGTATCCAATCCTGATAGGATTGATCCCAGTCCAGGAGAACAGATTTACAAAAACACCTTAAAGCGGTAGCACCTGAAGAATAGTTCCAGTTAAACAAGGACCCAGCTGGTTTAGCTCATTAAGAAGCAAGTTATTTTTGAAAAACTGCAGGTGCACTGGCTCTAAAGGACCAGAATGGGGCAGCCCTGGTTTATTGACTAGGGCCTACATTTGGAATTTCCAATTAAGACATTTAAGGCCCAACTCTCTTTTACTTGTATGGGGAGAATGAAGACCTATAGACCTGCTTCTCCACCACAGCCAACATCCATTCATATTTTGACACTGCAAGCACCGCTATGTCCTTAAAAGAAAGTTAGTGTTGTGGACCTTCAGGGGTCACTGTTTTGCCAAGAGCAGGGAGGGTCATAGTGTAGCTACTGTCAGTCCATTGGGTGCAACAGCTTGGGGAATCACAGACATCTAGTACAGTAAGCTGACTCAGGTTTGAATTAGTGATATCTAGATCATAAGGTTCAGGCGATGAGGCTCTGAGCAGACATTATTACTGACTGACATACCCAGAAGCCTGAGCCTACATTAGGGGTGATCTTTTGTTTTCTGGCATGTCTGATTGTTTTTCAGCTAGGACAGATGATAAATGAGAAGGAAATAATCCTGAGATTTACATTTAGTGTTCAGTAGTATTTGTGGAATTTGCTTTAAATAAAATACATAATAGATAATACTAGCCACTTGGTTTATACTGCTCAATAAGATGAATGGTTGGCAACAAAAATGACATAGGGTTCGTGAAATGTAGATCTCATACAGAATTAGAAAGAAAATACATATACTGGTTCATTCATATTGTACTTGCATCAGACTTTTGTACTATTGACCTGTTCTTTTCTTGGAACATTCTTAAGTATAACAGAATAATTAATAGCATGAAATAAGTCTATAATTTGTTGGCTGTCCAAGATGTTTTAGCCTTTGAGATCAAACCTTAATTAGATAAACCTGCTTAACATCACTTTCTGATTTAATGAAATGGCAGCATAAATAAAATAAACCTGTACAGCAAATATAAAACTTGACATGCGTAGGTCAATATCACCTAAAGAGCACATTCTTTGGTGAGCTTTTTATTTGTAAAGTGGAAAGGTTTCTAAGGAGTGTGTAAAATTGCTTGATCTCATGTAATGTCAGCTACTCTCAGAAAAAGAATTACAGAAGGAAGTGATTACTGTTATTAGATCAATTTCCTATGTGTTTTGTGGCTTTGGTTAATGATTATCAGCATTTCCTCCAATTGAATTAGACTAAGCATTACTTGGAAAAAAAGCTCTTGTGATTGTAGTGCTTAAATGTGGTTGCTGTGTCTTACAATTTCTTTCCTGCAGGAACCCAAAACGAAATTCACAGCAAGGTATTCTGGAAATGTACAGTAGATAATACTACTCTATATTAAATAGGTTGTCAGTTTCCATCTACTGAAATTGTTAACTAGAGCTTCAGGAGTAGTACAAGTAAAAGCAATGAAGGGGAGAAAAGGCAGGTGGCACTGAACTGAAAATAATATTCAAGTTATTTAATGTCCTGAAATTTTGGCTTTGTACCAAGAACTAGAGAAGGAAATCTCTTCGGCTGAATGTTATACTGTAAACCAGACAACATGTACTTGCTGAAGACCAGTTATCCTGTGGGTGGATTTTAACCATTTCTCAGGAAAGACAATAAAACCTGTAGGAGTCTCGTTACTGGACATACAACAAAAGCAGATGTTTATGTTCTAGTTTTGTCAAACAACAAAATACATCTTAATCTGTAACCAACAAATGGAGCACAAGATACAGCTTATAATATTAGGGCATCTGTCATTACTTCAGTACTGCAAGGGTACATTTTGAAAGCTTATTCACTTTAAAATAAAACAAAGCTTTTTGGATATAATTTCCAGCTCCAACTACTGCCATTACCCAGTATCATTTTAGTTCTTTGCAATTAGAGCAGTAGCTCTCCACACAACTCCGCCACCATCTTGTTTCAGCCTAAGAGCGCTTCTGAGCAAGAATATTGTGTTGTTCCTTTTCACACTGCAGTAAAACTCAACCATCCATCATTCCATCTTGTGAAAGGTCATTCTCCTGAGTACCACAAATATCTAGTTTGATAAAAAAAAGAATTGTAAAAGATAAAACAAAACAGTATTGCTGTTAAATTCTTGTCACGATTAATGTGTGCTGCACATGTACTGTATATACTGTGGTACCTATTCCTTTTTAAAAATGAAAGCCAAAAAAGAACTGAAACTAGTGCAGAAGTAATAGTCCATTTCAGGAATTACAGAAAGCAGGGAGATTTATAGAATCATGTTTTTCAATAATTTAAATAAAAACTTACCATACGGTACATGCTGTACAGTATAGAACAAAAGCTCATTGATTCTTCCTAAAAGAAGAATAACTGAACAACTGATTTATTAGTAATGTCTTTATATTTACAGGCAGTGCAGCTGTGTGATTTAGAAATAAGCTAAACTTAATCTAAAAAAGTTAGTCATATCATTTCTTAGTAGAATGATAATGCTGTAGTTATTATTAACAAACCCAATTCCCAGAGGAACAAAGAGGATACACCTGTGAGGATGAAGAAATATCGATGCATTTTTCATTTGCAACTTTATCATTTTATTTATTTTAGGAATTATGAAACATCCTAAGCTTAGAAAAGGAATAATTTTGCACTGAAGTATGTTTTTATAGTGTCAGTAATGTTACGTGATCAGGTAAGGAAGGGATAGCCAGAGCACAATTCAGCTCTGCATGTGTCTCTTCTGCATGGGAGGAATACCACAGTGGCGTAATGTTTAATCTTGTCCACTTTCCATGTGCTACACAGTGTAGGTACTGTACGTTGTGACATAGGGATGCAACAAAAGCACTATTTTCAGATTTCCTTCTTTGCCTTAAGAGGGCAGTGTGCCTTTGACTAGCAATATTGTCTTTGTGTTGTAGGAAATCAAGTTACCACAAAGACTAGGGAAGTCTGGAGCAAATTCTAAACTAAAGAAAGCCGACAATTCATCATAAAAACTTTTTTTTTAATTTTCGGTTGATCTTGTTCAATTTTACAATATATTACTATTATATGACATTTTTACATATATTATTTGTTTTCTTGGTAAAAGTAATCAGACATGCTTTGGGGCTGACATTACCCAGTTCAGACATAGCATAATAATGAAAAAAGGCACATAATCAGTCTTGAAAGTTTGTGCATCAGTCAGAAAGTTAAAACTTAAAAAAAAAAAACTGGCTTGGTGTTGTCTTGTGAGAACCAATATCTGAAAAAGAAATCTTCAGGTCTCCAAATAACCTAGCAGTCTTTTGCTAGCGTAGTAAATTTGACAATACCATGTATTTGCAAGCATAATAGGTTGCAAAGGGTATTAAAATGTACACATTGCCCTTTTGAAATCTAAAACGGGTATAAATGCTTGTATTGTCTGGACGTTTGCAAAAACACCTGGTATAAGGTCTTATTTATTTTTGCTCCTTAACTGGATTCAAACATGATATTGATTCCATGCTTCAGGAAACCAAGTGTAAGATATTCCCATTGTCAGTCCTTCCTTGTATATGAGGGGAAATGGCTTTGGAAATACGGACTGTTTCAAAGAGGGCGACTTGTCATTCATTTCTGTTGCCAGAGCATGGGTCCCTGTGGCATAACACTTTCTAAGATAAAGTCAGAGTTGTTCTTAAGCATTTCAGCCAGAGAGCTTTAGTATGATGCCACACATTCATCACATCTTCGCATCTGAGTGTATCAGCCCATTGTTCTCTGGTCACATACACATTCCTGACAATCCCAACTGAGGAAATGAGTGCCTTGTTTCCCTGAATGCATCTGGCTGAGTCCAGACACCCAATGGTCAACAGCAGGAGCCTTATGTTAATGCCTTGGGTGCTTAATCCAGTTCCTTATCATCCACTTCTGGCCCGAGCATCTCTGTACTACAAGCCGCAACCCAAAGTTTGCTTCTTTGGACATTTCCACCTCCAAACATCGCCCTGTATCCCTGCTTATGATTGGGCCATTCTGTTGAAAGAAAGGAGACGTACAAGGAAGTATTTTAATAATGATAAAAATTCATGATCACATCTGAAACTAGCATAAGAGGATCCCAAGAGATCAATCTCAAGCATTTTCATATGCAGCTTTCGTTTTAACTACAGTAGGTTATACCTGCAGCTTGACTAATATACTGGATCAAAAAGGGTTTTATTCAGAGTCAATACTTTCCTGTTGAAAATTGCATTCTAGCACTTTATGTATACCTGGATAAAAATGCTACCTTGATTGTAATTCTCTAAAATGTCTGATGGCATTTTTTCATTCATTTCTGTAAGTCAAATGAGATCCTCCTTATCCCAGTGAAGTGTAAGTTGTTCAGATCTGTAATCACCTGGGTGAAATCCCAAAGCCTCTGAGATGATCGTGTAACATCATCACATTTTTTCAGACTTGGAGTTCTTCCTCTCCCATCATCTACCAAGCACTTGGTATCGGGCAGGAAAGTGGTTGACCCCAAGGGTCCTAGCTGTAACAGGCCTTCTGTAGAATAGCGGGCCAGCTAAAATGGAAAAGACATAAACTGGTTAATTCTGAGCGACAGGAAGCCTACAAATTAGGCTGTCATGGACAATGATAGATACTACAGTTTATTTTTTCCCAAAGATATTGTTGAAGTTTCATCCCTGTTGAATTAGTCACAGATCAATACAGAAACAGATTTCAAAGGACACTGAAAGTAAACTCCCACAGTGGGATGCTGCTGCCTTCGAAAGTGCCCATTTTTTTAAAAAAAGTTCCTTTTTTTCTACAATAAGTATGCTGTATTTTTTTATGCCAGTACAATGGCCAATTCAAACAACACTTCATCATCGACGAGAGTATTTTTTCCATATGACAGGGGCTGATAGGCTTTTTTCCCAACTGAATAAAAGCAGACAAGAGAAAAGGCTTTCCAGTGCTTTCTTATTCTTGTGCCAAAGGCCCAGAGAATACAGCACATTAAAAACATTCGTGAACACAGATTTCAAACTATAGTGGGCGATTGTTCTTTCAATAGCTTAAGCACCTACATCATGTGAAAGCTACCTACGTGTAAGTGAAAAAAGAAAACACAAACAAGAAAGGATCAATTGGACAATTCAGAGTTTGGGGTTAAAAAAGCTAAACTAAAAAATGCAATGATAAAAAAAAGCCCTTTTATGGTAAAGTATTTTTTACCAACAAATCTGCTGTCTAAAGCATTTGTACATCATTCCTTACATTTTTGTTTCTTAGAAGAGAAAATATTTTCTAAAGTCTTTCATTCAAAATGCTATTAATAGAATACCTGGCAAGTTTTGCTCTAAGCTTTAAGAAAGTATTTGGATTGATTTCATGCGGAGGTATAGTAAAATCTCTTTCCAGTTGGACTTCATAGTTATCTGATGTTAAGAGCAAGTTAAAATGTACAGCTGGTTCTTGAATAATCATTCTTTATTGACCTTTAAACGAAAGAGGACCACTCAGACAAGGGTAAGGCCAAGGCAAGTCTTTTCACACCCTCCCAATTTCTAGAACTAAATGGTTAAGCAGCGTGTCTTTACACATTTAAGCAGTTTGCAGTATGGGGGAATAGGGGAATGCAAACTAGTCATACATGCACTAGTCAAAGTTCCCTGTCCTTGACTCCCCTGCATACCCTGTACTGTCTCCAGTAGAAATGACGTTGATTGAAGCAACAATGCAGCTATCATTAACAAAAATGTAAGGCGTCTGACGACACCCAGCTCAGGCCACCCATCTGTGATACTTTGTATTGTGCAATAGTGCTTGGGGAAACAGAATTTGCTCATTTCATAGTCAGACCTTAGACCAGGGAGGTCTGGAATTCAGGGCCTAAACTGCATAGTGATTTTACTGGCTTACCCATTATAAAGTCCTTAGTAAGACTGTTTCTTCAAGCTTAATAGTCAGGCATTATATGTGCTCATTTGTAGTTGAGCTGCTAAGCTTCAATCAGTAGAATTCCACTAAGCTCTGTGTTGTGGATTGCAGGTGTACAAAATAATCAACAGCCTAATGTTTTGGATTAAATAGATTAAAACAACACTAATCTGTATAGAGAATTTTAATCTCTAAGAGTCCAATGAGAAAAAATACTATCACAAATCCTCATATATATGCTAACTGTTCTACTTAACAGTTAAAAAAACAGTACAAAAATTCTGCCAGTGACCATACAAGCTTTGACTTGAGATAGTTTTTTTAGCAAAACCCAAATGTTTTAGCTATCCTTTATTAATGGTTAGGAAATAATTTTTTGTTACTAATCCTTTTTAAAAAGGTCTATATTTCACATTGCCAGAAAATCCATTGATTAATTTTTTTAATGAATTTGTATTACACCCTTGAAAAGGCAGAAACCCTTTTCAGTATACAAATAAAGAAAAGATCAAAAATAAAACATAACCTGTCATGTTTATTTTTGGACTGATAAATTATGATGAGAAATTCTGTTTTTTTTCCCTACTTCAGTTTAATGTTGAAAATTTACCTTGCATGTTTAGTTTCATGTCTGATTAGTAATAGCAACCACATAAATCACTGCCACTGTTACAAGTAATACTTTTGCATAGTACTGTATTTAATTATATTTATAATTACTGCAGTAATAATCACAACACATATTGCCTTATAAAAAAATGGGAAAAAACAATTAAGGATAAAATTACAAACATCTAAACTAAAATTTTAAAAGTGGTTCCTGGAAAGCTCTTAGCTATTTGACTTGATATTATAATATATCGTTTTGCAAATAAAGGTTCTGTCTTTCTACATTACATTAAACATTCACTAAGGCTGAGGCAATCAGGAAAGTGGGGATTTAATTATTCATAAGAAAAATATTCCCCGAGAAACAAGATGCCAAACAATGGGGTGGTTGTAAGGAGGGGGAGTTGGAAACAATCAATGCAGATACACATCATTGTGAATTTCTTTCACAGGTTGTTCACAGATGTTGTTTTGTTCCATAATTCACTATGAGCAGACTGCAAACTACTGCTTTGTTCAGCAAAATGCGTGCAATGGTCTTTTTCAAAGAAAACTGGTTTAACCTTTTACCACATGCAGTATACACATCTGCAGTTGTATGTAAAAAAAGTAGCTACAATAATGATACATTAATGATAGAACAACAAGCATGTTATAGTTCTAAGTTGAACAATTAATTAATTAATTAATTGCAATTAATACAGGATTGGGTACACTGTACTATGTAAAAGCCCTCAAAAGGTACCCTCCAAACTCAGATACTGCAGTAAGATACAGTGGGGCAATGTGAATAGAAGAATATTGCTGTGATACTCAGTAATATCAACCTGTTTTAGAAGATCTCTTCCTTAATGGACAGCACGCCTTTTGTTTTGCTCTCTTTAAATATGCATCTTCCAATATTCCAATATATGACTTAACCTACAGTGTTTTACTCAGTGGTTCAACCCAAGTGAAATAGGTAACCACATTTTAAACATCTACAGTACATATTTTTGCAAAACATCAATTGTTTCTGTGTCTGATTTTGACCAATTACATTCAGGGGTTTATGATAAAAAAACACTTTGTTTTCTCTTAAGTGTCATTAAGGTATTATAGCACTAATATTATTTTATCACTTGTTAGTTTAAAGCTGGGCTGTATTTTTATGTCGGAGTAAATTTTCAGTGACATTAAATAGCTTTTGTATATGAGACACATAGAGGTCATCTCCTGCAGTATATGTAGCTCAAGTAATGGTTTATGAATTCCTTCCTAAAACCCAATGACAGCACAACACAACAGGCCTAAATCACTAAATGACTATCCTGTAGAAATTATTTTATTTATCCTGTAAAAAATTGTTTCAGTGATGTGCATGAGGGAAACTAATGCCATTGTGGTGGGAGGGATATTATCCTTGTTTATTTTAAATAAAGTATGAGCAATATGTTGTAGCTCCTTTTGTGTAAGCCTACATCCACTGAATGTTTTTCAAATCTTACAGTTTGTAAGCTGATTTGTCAGTAGCAAATGAACTTGGCAAAGGTAAGAGCTGTATAATCCCCCTGTTAAGATATGTTCCTGGGTTTTACTTGATGCCTGTTGTTTTCTAATAAGGTTAAAATTGGACTGTCGGAAGTATTAATCTGCAGGGGAGGTATTGAGAAAGCCAGTCAGGTCCAGTATGGCTTCACTGCTTCACTGCACTTTCAGGTCTCCTAAATCTTTAATGAGCTATTTTTGTTTCAAGTAGTAAGAATGTTCAGGAATGCCTCATCTTTTCATAAAGTGCAGTAATCGCACAATAGTAAAACTGGGGAAGGCAGGAACAGTTAACATTCACTTCAAACTATACAAACATTATCATGTACTTGTACATTTAAAAAGCCATCTTTCTGCTACAGGAAACATATCTATAGTACAGTACAAATCCAAAATGACTCACAGCATTGTCTTAGTGTACTGGAGACTGCAGTCTTTTCTTGTTGCCTATAGTGTGTTTTTTGCAGTAGGAACTGCCAGAAGCTGGCAGGTTTAATCCTGCCCTGTTTCCCAGATATTTAGAGGCCCAACATACAGTCCTTTACCATGTTGCGATAGCGCTGCAATGTGATGTGCTAAGATTAGGAGGCATACCACAACATGAGGGGTTACAAGAGACTTCCAGGATGAAAACACATGACCTCTTGAGCAGTGGCACTGCATGCTGTGGAAACTCACACTTCTTATTCTCAATTCTCCCAGAGGACTTAAGGGGTTCTTAAATTAAGCAGGACAAACTGTTAGGTGAAATGCATTTCCTTTCAAATATGCGTGTCTTAATGTCTTTGCACAAATGTTTCATTGTTTGCATTGTACAATTAGACACAAGTCCAGTAACCTGAAGTACTGACTATATAGCTTATAATTTACGAATTTCACTACATGTTTTATTCCAGAGCATGGGATATGTTGCAATTAATGGAAAAAGACCTTGCAACGATCTTTATGTAGAAATTAAATTCATTATCATTAATTTGTCACTCAACATTAATGGAATTGTCTGTGGTATTGCAACATTGCATTTAGTCTCCATGCCATGAAATAGCTTTTTAACAACACAATTCCAGACAGGTTCATGAAATAACTTTATTGCTTTCATGCCTATGGTACTATGATCTTCTTATACAGAAAAAAAAAAGTCATACCATTAACATATTTTCTCTATTTGCATGCCTTTTAACACCTTCTGCCTGTCTCGCCTGGCCTGTAGGGAATGATAATAGCTAAAATCTAACCTGATGACAGACTTCTGCTTGGCTCTTGTGATCATCTATGATGAAATGTTGATAACTTTATCCATTATTTTATTCCATTGCCAGGAAGTAAATAATTGTATTGTCCTTTAAAGCAAGCTGCAGGAGTCTCTAATGGCCAAGTGACATTTTGTGTAGTAGTGGAGGGCGAGGCATACTGTAAGTGAATATTAAACAGTGAAAGTGTCCTCAGACAGGGATTCCAGGAATTTAATGGGGTTTACAAAAATATGTTAAGGAGAAAAGGCCACCCCCTATACATGCCAAAAACCCAGTCTTCTAGTGTTGAACCTTACTAAAGGGCTAGATGAGGCAACCTCTTCTCAGTTGTAATCTCTCATATTTTCTTATCTTCCCTACATTGCTCACTTTCTCTCCAAAACACCCTAGCTCCCCTGATCACTCCTAGAGTACCAATTTGTCAAGGGACTCCCCTGATCACTCCTAGAGTACCAATTTGTCAAGGGAATCTCTTTGCTTAACAGCCCTGGACAATTAAAGGCAACCATGGCATCCAGGTGTAGAGAGAAAGAGAGAGAGAGAGAAAAAAATAAAAGCACCTACCTGAGATGACATCCCATGGCATGGATATAGAATGGCTTTATCATCGTCTTCAGATCCCTGGTCTAAGCAATAGCCGCTGGCCTTGCTGTTTCTCACCTGGGGAAGAACCAGACAAAAAAAGAGATGAAAGGAATATTTATCTTGTAGTGGTTTACTAAGAGCTTCTAGATAAGCATCACTGATCTGTCAGGACAGCAAAAAGCCTTCAGGTGTCCACGCCAAGTTCTAAATCTGTATATCATTTATCTTGAGAAATGAAGAAACAGTGCTTCCACCCCTGCTGCTTCCACGCTTCATGAAGTTTTTTTCTTCTCAGCTGATTTTGGGGAGCCATTATTGCTATTATTTTTAGTAAGGATACAATATTCCAAAATCTAGATAGATAGGTCCAAATCTGTCAGTCCAGAGAGTCCATCCTGGTTTCCATGGCATTAAGTAAACAGAGAACACATGACTTTACTCCTGAATGGGTCGACTGTCCATTTATAGAGGTGGGTGGATAGGAGCTGTGAAGATAACGTATCCCATTCTAGGCACAACTTTGGGGACTAGAACCCACAGCACACAAGCCATGAACCCAGAAACCTAACCACCACACTACGGTCCTCCTATAAGCTATCTAAACAAAATGAAAACGAGATAAATATGAAAAAAAATGACAAATAGATTTGCAGTAAGAAAGAAGTACAGATGATGCAAACCATTCCTTTATAACAGTGTGAGTTACTCCTGCCTCAAGACCTGATTCATACCTAATTCTATTGACTGCATATGAGACAGTGTGTGAAACATTTGCAGTATTAATTTGCAAAGAATGTCTGACCACCTATTCACTGTGATATCACTGTGGCAGCCGGATCTTTTACAGTGGATATGTTACAGTGGGATGTGTCCCGATCTGGTGCTTTCACTTCAGTTCATACAGTACTAAGACTTTAACATCACACCTTGCGTTCTTATAGAGCAATGCTTATGAGTTAGATATGCCAGACACTTCACTGTGGTACAGATCACTGGCAAATGAAAGCAGTTTTCAGTAAACACTAAGTTAAAATAATATAAAGTATGCTGAATTCATAATATTTCTATATGTAGAATTACTGTAGTTGTAGGACAAGGCATTAGTGGCTTCCTTCTTTCAATACTTTGTCTAATATTCCAATAATATTGTTACTTCTATTGTGAAATCAATGTGAAATAGATTGTCACAATTATGAGGGTAACTGTTATAACATCTTTTTCAGCTCAAAAAGCATACAGTTTTAGGTATAATTTAGTGATATATATCATCCTTGGCTTAGTAAATCGAACATGGATGTCTGTTCCTAAAGTGTTGAGTTAAAACCCCATCACCTACAGTCCTCATTTAAAACAATAGAACTAGACCCAGTTGCTATGGGAACATAACATTCTATTACATCTCTCTGTTTTTAATGCTTTATGTAACATTTTGTTCTATTTAACAAAAATAAATGAACGTACATTAGATGTTGACAATGAAATTGAGCAGAGGTCTATTGTTTAAAGTCGATGTCCCACATTTCCAATAATAGTCTGAAACAATAGAATGGTCTTGTTTGCAAATAAGTGTTCTATCTTGACATGAAAAACCATGAATAGTCCTGATTATCCCGATCCTCCATAGCAAATTCAAACATTATTTAACTGAACACAAACTATCAAAGTGATATTATACAGCAATGATATTTTAACTGCATGTACAATATTAATAATCTGATATGTAATTCTGCAAATGTTTATAGTTACTTTATGGCATGTATTGTTTTTTTTTCATTTCTGCTGCAACAAAGAAATAGGACATTAAGTAAGTGGCCAATAATATAATTCATTAATTTTCTCAATCATTTGCAGATATGACAGGCAACACAACTGCAACACATGACTCCTTTAGTACACTTTCCCTGTCAAGTCTCTGACTCCATTATTATCTGATCATATATTTGAAATTGTTCTCCTAGTTTACTTTACAATGGAGATTACAGAGCACAGTACAAAGGACTGACACTGTTCATTTCATTTTGAGTCATCATCTCTGGAACAATTCCTTTAACGGCAAACATTTCCATCTGAATCACATTTGTTTTTCTAACAAACAACGATTAAAACCTTCTTAAAAATAAGGATTCAGTTTCAGTTCAGTTCTTACCTCTCCATAGGTTATGGTGTTATTGTAAATCCTCATCTCAGGATAGACATTTTCAAGATACCACCGGAAACTCCGACATTGCAGTCTTTTTCTCAAGGCGATTCTTTCCGAAACATCTCCGAAATCAACACCAGGGTTCTGTTAAATTAGCAAAGAGGGAGAGAGAAACTATCAACGCACAGACGTTCAGAGAATTTTCTCCTTTTACTTTTAACATGAGTCGGAAGCAGCATAAAACTTTAGAAAGTGAGCTGTAGGAATAACATTGGTTAAAATGCAGTAAAAGAAAGCATTATTAAACTTGCCCTTTTTTGCAGTCTATTCCCAAACACCATGCCCCCTGTAAGGTGGAAATATACACTTTTATATACACTACTGTTTTATCTTTAACTGTCTGAAAGCGCATTCTGCAGCATGACAACTAACACACCAAACGTGGAAAAGACCTATCCTATTGATTCTTAGGTGAACTTTTTTAGGCAGTGTTTACAAGAGAATGAGTGTAATGCCACTCTCATGAGAATCCCATTGTTCCTCCATTAGAGCTGATGCTATGCTTTGCAAATTTTAATCAGGTCTTTAATTATGAGAGCTCAAAGCACTCATGGTATAATGTGGACACCTTCCAAGATTTATGATGAGAATGTATAATAGCTAAAACAGACTCTGGTGTTTAACCTCCAAAGACAAAGTGCTTCATTAAGTGCTCCGGTATTTCAAATGCTGTGTGTAAATATTTTAATTGCAGCACCTACAGTACTCTTCAATAATTATTTTGCTAGGTCTTTGAAATTGTAGCTCACGATGCACGCATCATATTTTAGATTTCAATAAATCACCATTTTGTTCTGTTTACTTTAGCTTTGTTTCATATCTTATATTTTAAAAGTAATTAACTTAATTATGTGCTTGAGGAAACCATTTACTTGTAGCATTTCAATTGCTTCAGTAAGCAGGGACATGCATACTTAAAGTAATGATGACAGCTACTTCAATTACTGGCTTACAATATTTCTCACAAGAAGAAACATTGAGGGTGGGGTGTGAAGGTCACTACACTCATTTAAGCATCTACATAAATTCCCTGTTTTCAAAAGGGTGGGTTGTATCCAGCTATATCCAGAATTTAGACCACAAAACTGTTAAATTAAAAATAAATCCAATAAACGTAAACAGCTAAAAATGGTATTTGGTAAAGAGAATGTCAGGATTTATTGTATTGGTGAATATACTGTAGTATGTGCAATTTTCATGGCATGGTCATCAAGTTGTTGCAAATTTCAGGTTTGACTGGACCAGAGAGGTTCACTTGATAGATACAGTATGGTCAGAACTGAGACAGAATTGTGTATAAACACCATGAAAACAATCTTCACATTTGTGTATTCAAACTAATGCTTACTGATCCATCTGATATTTTTTTTGTATTACTGCTAAGTCTACAGCACGTTTCGTGTTTAATAATAAGCTGATCCTGTGCTTGTTTGCATTGACTGGTAAGTGATCATTAACCCATGGGATGCAGAGAGGTCACATTTTAGAGTGTTTTTGAATTCTACCTCATTTGCACATCATTTCAATTAGTCCTCAACATTTACTGGGCTAGCCATTCAAAGGTATAACTCCAGTATTGCACAGCCATGTTTATATACGGTAGCTCATTCTAAATCATCTAATGATTTATTATGTTTTATTAAATAGTTCTTTACCAAAGATAACGATTTTTAAGAAACAACTGGATGAGATCCTTGGATGAATTAACTACTGACTGCTAAATGGCCCAAAAAGCCTCCTATTCTTTGTAAACTTCCTTATGTTTTTATGCAAGATCAATAACAGCTTCCAAGATAATGGACTTGCCTTCCTGAAGAAATTAAGAATCATCCTGTAGCTCAGTAATATGAAAATTGCTTTTCTCCTGAGGAGCAGGCAAATCGAAAGGTCCAACAATGTTACAGTTGACAAATGTTTCAAAAATACCAGCCTAGGAATAATTCCCCAAAAAACAACAGCTTTAAGAACATGCAAAAGTACTCACATTCATAGGTATGTTCCAGGCCATGTATACATGGGACTTGAATTCGTCCATCCACACCTCTGCGGCTCTCAGTGCGTTCCTCTTTGCATAGTAATCAATATCGTTATTGTAAGGCTTCTTTGTGCGTTCAATGTGAGCGACTCGGGCGCAAGGCAAAACCTCCATACTGCCGCCACACTGCCACACCTGAAAGAAAATAAGTGGTATGCCTGGGTACTAACATTGAAATAACACGCCTTGGCTTTTTGTTTGAATCCATATATTAGTATTTATGTTAGGATGATGCTGGAGAATTGATATTGTACAACTTTGAAAACATGCCATGTTGTGTGTGTGTGTTTTGTAGCAGCTTTACACGCAGAACATCTGCAAGTCTGGACTTACATCAGTTCTGTTCCCAGGGCACCTCTCTACACTTGAATTCAATATCCATTTCATGGATTAAAAGTATTAAAAGTTTCAGTGCAATATAAACCGGTGTTTCATTAAGTTACATTTGCTCAACATTACTTTCATGGCATGTAGTTATGTCAGCGTGTCCGAACACCGTGGTTTGCTGATCTTAACATTTTTTATCTGATATGTTTCCTTCTTGCAATACAGGTGCAGAGTCAGCTGTCTCAATGCACAGCCTCTCACAGTGCACTTGAATGTTCATTTACGAGTGACCATAGGTACAGTACTACCAAGGGATGCATGTATTTTTTGTTTTTCTTTGTTTTTAAACGTGCACACACACTCACATACAGTATGCATCCCCCACCCCACTGTAAAAGGGTTGTAATTTGCTTGTTGTTCCAATTAAGTTTGTTGATCATTATTTTCTGCTGAGGTTTGTAATTCGCAAATTACTGGCTTTGTATTACAACAAACCTCCAGAGCGAATAATGGAAACACTCCGTCTGATATGATCATTTTACGCGCTGGCTTTGTGAGGCAAGATCTTTCTGCTCATCAGCAAAATGAAACAGAACACAGACAAAAAAAAACCTTAAGCCCTTCTTTTGTTACATTCAGCTCTGTTACTAATACCAGCGATTAACAAACAGACATGGTGATGTCCACTCTGTCATAAGTGCTTTATTTCCAACACTCTGTGTAAATTGATACAGTAATGAGATAAGCCGATCAGTGTGACGCGAGCCATTTTGAACATAGTCTTGTCTCTTGTTGTCTTCCCTGCAAGATGGATAGTGTGAATCTGCCATGATGATTAACATACAGTACTGAAGAATGGCTATTATCAAGGGCAAGAGTTCATGAGGTGCTGCAGCCACTGTGCTGAGGCAGTGCACTCAGGCACCTTCATATGGGGATTCTACAGAGAAATACCGCAGATCAGATTGCGTTCTTTTTCAAGGACACTCTGGAGATCTGTATGATAATACAGAGTGCAGAGAGGAATAAAACAATGCTATTTTAATGTTACAAAAAGCTCAGGAACTATTAATGTGCATGCTATGATATATTGGATCTACCAGTTTTCTGTGCGTTTTTTTATATCCACAGAATCAGTGTAATGAATCAGTAAATCTTTGGCAAATACTCTTGCATGAAACAATATAAATTGACTTTTAAAATGTTTGTTGACATGTTTATTTTCACATGCAATTATTTTTCACATCCACACCATAGCTATGTTTGATGTGCCCTGCAAATAATATCTGCGGTAGATTGTACAGGAGGGGTTGTTGTTGAATGTTTTATTTTAAATTGTTTTCTTTGAACATATACAGCTTACACACTTTTCTGTTAAAGAAAATGACATTCAGATTGGAATGCATATGTTCACCAAAGGCATGCATATTTTACATTAAAGAAGTAAAAAATGAGAAAAACAAACAATTTACTCAGCATCTGAAATTTCAACTGCCCAAAGTACTTTTTCAAAGCATTTTTGGTGACAGATCTGACAGTCCTTCAAAAGAAAACTCAATTTTCTGACCGGGGGCTAGGAAATTGAAATGCCTTGTTCAGTTAATCTTCACGTGTTGGCAGGTAGGACTGGCTATCCCTAAATTCTGTACGATTCTAAGCAAGATGGAAAAGTGACAAACTGAGGGTAGCATTCCTTTTAACCTGTCAACAATCTTGGGGCCAGCAGCTTTTTACTTTAAATTTGAGATGAATTACCAAAATGTAGAAACAGACAAAAAATGACAATAAAGGAAATTGAAAAGCTGTCCTTAATATCTGCGAGAGTCCCCTGTAATTGCTTTGCCTAATGAAACTTCAAGCTACGATGCACCTTTTCCCAGTGAAAATGAATAAACAGTACACTATATTGTATCTCTGGTAGACACAGACGATTTTTATTTGGCAAGACAGTTAGAAAGAGTGCATTATTCATAGTTTTCAAGCCCTTTTTCTTTAACCAAATGTTGTCTTTGAGAATCCCAGTAACATTCAGCTAGTACATACTGTACAGTACTGTAGCACAATGTGCATAAATACTGATGAATGTCTGAAATAGGAAATTCAAGTACTGTGATTATCAAGGATATTTCAAATCTAATATACAGTAAACTCAGAAATGGTATTATAGGTTCATCAAGGTAATGACTTGTTTATAATAGAGCATACTGTATTACCTTTAGTCTAGCTAGATCATTTATAACTTTCCAGAAGAAAGGATGTCAGAAACATTGTCATTATTGTTTGCCTGTGTTTTATAGGCTATTGTTCTGTCTCAATTATTCTTTATTGTTTCAAAGTAGCTGATCTTTTTTTGAGTGGTACTTGTCATGTAAATCAACCCAATTCTCTTGTATTTGCTAACGCATCGAAGAGTGGAAAAAGACATACTGTATTCGTCAGAGGAGTGCTTTAATGATTTTACAGATTTCAGCATCAGACAAGATTTAACAAGGCACTCTGGATATGTGAAGAGGGTAAGAGGCTGCAAGTGAATTCAGATGAGAATATGACACCACACTGAAACGTGGTTGAAATATATTCTGGAAAGATCATAATGTATTATTTGTAAGAGTACAACACCACCACTAAATGGATAAATGAGCTCCATGTTTGTTTTTGGAGTCAAACCCACATGGTTAGACTGTATCTGGATGATTAGAGATACAGCTGGGAAGGAAGGTCTGATGTCTCTTATGTACATGAGCAAAAAGATCAGGAAATAGTATAGGTAGTATGGTCATTTTCCCTCTGCACAGATTTTCATTGCAAACTCTGTTGAGACTTGTTGAAAATATCTTACCATTTTGTACAGAATTGGTGGTTAGAAAATAATTGTGGTAAAAATAAAGATCAAAAGGTGTTTATTTTGCGCTACTCAATATAAATCTAAAAAATGTCCACAGAGACTTCAAGTTCAAAATCTATGAGTGTGTTTTGCTTTGTATCTGAAGCTGAAGTAATTTATCTTGGTTCACATTTTACCATCTTCAAAGCATATATTCTATCTCCTGCATTTTTTAAATGTCTCCTCGGTGAGATGTTGCAAACAGAAACAAATGGAACAAAAATCCCACTGAGTTGTCAAAAAACCTTAGAGGTATATATATATACAAAACTGTATAGCATGCTGATGTAGAAAGACAAGTATTCTATTTCCAAAAGTGCAATGATTTCTGTTTGTTTGTTTGAATGGTTTCTGTCACTATACTCAAAAAGCATTAAATGGGACCACACAGATTGTGTATGGGGGGAGACTTTTATTTAAATAAAACTATTGTTTAAAATCAGACTTTTTATTTTTTATTTTTGTCATGTTTTCATGTTTAAGCATTGCCCTGAAGTGATTGACATTAATATCTTATGTTTTGTCATCAGATGATGAAAAGACTCTTTTAAGTGTAAAGCACACTACAGTGATACATACAGTAGTACTGGTTTTAAATATACAGTACAATGTGGCTTTCTTTTATGTTCATATGAAGCAACTAACATAAGGACTAACTTTGTATGACTCCCTTCTAGAGTTTATATAAAGTTAAAAACATAGAGCCATTCATCATGTTACAAATCTCTGTATATAATGAATAACTAAACCCACTATACTGACAACACAAGGTTTGCATGCAAGGATTTCAGTATTTATCTATGAGGGAATTCAAAGCCATTTCTCATGGTTTCTTACAGCATGTTTTACCAACTACAAAGCAAATTAATAGTTGTATAATTATAAACAAGATATTTTTCCTTTCTGTTTCCTGTACGTATGTCTAATTTTCATTTGAATCATTCAGGTCTTCTTTTCTGTCAAGATCAATCATGACCACATAACCTGATAAGATCACTTTATTGGCCATATACAATTTCTCGTATTAGGAATTTGTCTTTTCGCATGCCCCAACTTGCTCTCCATGAGACACACAGGCAGGGAGAGAAGCTTGGGGTCAGAGCACAGGGTCAGCCATTTATATGACGCCCCTGGAACAGTTGGGTTAAGGCCTTGCTCAGGGACCCAACGGAGTAGGATTCCTCTGCTGGCAGCAATCTTACAGCCACAGGTGGAGATCCTTAGCCACAGAGCCACCACACCGCCCTGCTGATGTATTATATATTATCACCAGTGTAATTTTGCTTTCAAATTCAGAGCTAAGCATTTTTTCTAGCACTCAAGTACACATTTGAATGGACTTTTTATCATTTCAAATGATGCAAAGTTGGTAACAGTCATACAGGCATTACTGAAAGATAAAAGTAACAAAAAATCAGAACTGTAAGCTCTTAGTTATTGGATATTATGATCCGTATGATGGTACGGTTAAGAAAAGTTCATTTATTTCACAAAGTTTTGGTGAGGATACTCAAAATTGATCTCCATATGGTAGAACTACATTTTTATATAATAGTGTTCTTCATACATTGTGAGTATGTGGGAAGCAGACTTAAATTATTACCAAATGTTCAAAATAGTAATTTTAGATGCCTTGCAAAAAGTAATGTAATTAATGTTAATTGCACTGCATTTGATACATGAAACCCAAGCAAATTCCTTGCTATTAGGAATGAATGCTCTTCAGTTGAATATTTAAGTCTTAATTTTACAAATATTGATATACAGTATCTACAGTATTGTTTAGATTATTTTTCACTTTGATAAAAATCATTGCCATATAAAATGATATAATTTTATGAAAATGATAAAATTCAGTATTTCTTTAAGAATAAGCAACCAAAAATAAATTCATTAACTCTGTTGAGCTGTTAAGAAGAGG